CATAATCTAATCATTTCACTTCTGAATATTCCTACATTAACACAAGAGCTTTTAGGGAACAACTCATATCCAAACCACAATACCCTTTAAGTAGTCATAAATGGAAAATTCTAGGCTTTGTAGTATAGTCACTGATTTATTTTGCTTTTTCATTACTATGACCAAAAGACCTGACAAGAACAATTTTAAGGAGGAAAAGTTTATTTTGGCTCACAGTTTGAGAGCTCTCAGTCCATAGATAGCCAAATGTATTCTTTGGGGCCTGAGGTGAGGTATAAAATCATGGTAGAAGAGTGTGATGGAGGAAAGCAGCTAGGAACCAGGCACCAGGAAGCAGAGATAGATAAACGGTAAAGGCACACCCCCATCAACCCACTTCCTTCAGCCACACCCTACCTACCTAGAGTTACCATCTAGTTAATCCATTCAAGTGAGTTAATGCACTGATTAGGTTAAGGCTCTCATAACCTGATCATTTCACCTTTAAGCTTTCTTGCATTGTCTCACACATGAGCTTTTTGGAGATATCTAATATCTAAACCATAATGGCCACTAATAAGGGGATCTTATCCTTGTGCTGGAACAATGAGGAAGTGCCTGCCCATTACATCTGGGTACTATGGCTCACTGAGTGCATTGATAGGTACTGATGTAAGGTAATGTGTTCTGCCTTAATAATCTTCCAATCTGGAGAGTATTTTATTAGATGTGGTTCTTATGCCCATCATACATTAGGCATGCCACAAGAGAACCAATTAGACATAAAAAAAACCAATAGAAGATGAGTCTACCTAGCTGCCTACTTATCTCAATTTTAATTTTTACACAGTTGATTTCTTACTTTAGCAATAAATCAAAGCAAAAGTAACTGAACTGGGGGTTATGGATATGGCTCAGTGGTACAGTGCTTGCCTAGCATGCACAAGGTGCTGGTTTTGATGCCTAGTGCTGCCAAAAAAGAAAAAAGAAACAAAACAAAAAAACTGAATTGAGTTTAGCTTGTTGTTTGTATGTATCTACTCTTAAACTTAAATCAGTGAGTTTCTGGTTTGAGCAATTGACTATGTAGATGGTGAAGTTCAGTTTTGGACATTCTGTCTTTGAGGTCTCTTTGATAATTCAAATAGAAATAGGATCAAAATCCCACAAGAGATTATGGATTAAAAATAAAAATTGAGAGTTCTAAGCTAAATATTTCAAAATTGGAATCAATGGCATGGATGAGATCACCTAGGGAGAGAGTATAGTTAGAAGAGAATATGTCCAGGAAATGAACCTGAGAAAAACATATATTAAATACTTAAGGATACTGAAAAGACAGAAGTATATACCAGAATAGTAAGAGAAGCATGGTGTCTAAATAACAGGAGGAAGACTATTTTAAGTGGAACATGGTCAAGAGTGTGAAATGCTACTGAGAGTCATGTAAAATGAAAACTGAAAGTGTCCACTGGATTTAGCAACAGAGGTTATTGATGGCATTAGTCTGAACTGTTTTGGTACAGTGGTGGTGGTTAACTCTGAATATAAATAGTTGTTTCAGGTCTGTCTGGGAGGTGAAGAGAGGGCACTAAATACAGACAATCCTTGAGAAATTTAACTTTAAAGTGATGAAGAGAGTTTAAAAGCAACATTTTAGGAAGACAGAAAAGAGGAGAGAGCAAAGTAGTAATAGTTGGTTAATTTCTACTCAATTTAATGCATAAGCATTTGTTCACTGCACAAAGGGCACCGGGTAAAGAACTGAAAATTGAGAGATGAGTAAGAAGCAATCCTTTCCCTCAAGGTGGTCAAAAATTAGTAGGGGCAGGTTATAGATGGATAATTACTACAAGGGAAGATGCTTTAGATTAAGTAGCAGCATAGGCAGGAATGGAGTATCTTTATTAGGAAGGAAATCAGAAGATGTAGAAGTGATGTTTGAACTGAGTTTTGAATTCATATGCATTAGTAAAATGACTTTGAGGAAGATATTCCAGGCAGAGGGAAAAGCATAGTTTACTGGAAAACTATATGCAGCCTTTAAAGAGCATGGATTCTTGGAATTATTGCCTAGATTTAAATCTTGCCTCCCTCATTATCAGCTCTGGGGCCTTGGGAAATCACATCTTTGCAAAGCTGCAGTTTACTCATCTATAAAATGAAGACTCAATCCTTGAGTTAAAAAACAAAAAGAAAAGAAGGAAGGCTGATAATTCCTATCTCATAGGATTTTAGAATGGCTACAAAGCTGCTGAGAGCTCTGAATTAAATATCTGGCATATAGAAAACATTCAATATGCAATAACTCATAATTATAGGATCTAAAATGCAAGAATAAGGGCAGGGTCTGAAGCTAAAGAAGGTAATCAGAGGTCAGATCATGATAGATTTGTCAGGAAGGACAGCACTGTTCCCAGCATTAATTAAAACAAACTAGTGCAATTATTAGGAAACAGTTAAACTAAAGTCAGGCTTAATTCCATTAAAAAACAGTATTCAGGAAGTTTCTTAATTATAATCTTCTGTTGATGAAGCCTAAGGCAACAGGTATGTACCTTATAGTCTAATTAGGAGGCCAAAGTTGCTAACCTTTCATTGTGCAATTTGCAAATATATTTTACATTACAACATCTTGTAATACAGTGCATTATTTTCCATAAGATTATTGCTAAACTTCAGTTTTCTTATATTTTTCCCTATGTTTTTTAAAAATGAACTAGTAACATGATGATTCTATGATTTCATTATATTAGAAAAAGCTAGTTCATGGGTTAGGGATATAGTAGTGTAGCCTAGCATGTGTGAGGCCCTGGGTTCATTCCACCCCCAATTTCAAGGGAAAAAAAAATTGTACCCTACCACAAAAACAACAAACACTGATCACATAGGGCAGGCCAATTTTTTGCATTTGGCAGAGGCATTTTAAGGGTAGTCAGACTGCAGCAAAAGCTGCAGTTGGATCTAGGGAAATTTGCAAGAAAATTGGGGCCTCTTATCTTTTTGTAATAGTTTGAATGGACAAAGGTTTCATACTACAAAATCAATAATTTATCCTTTAGATTTTTTTAAAAAATATTTATTTTTTAGTTGTAGTTGGACACAATACCTTTATTTTTACTTACTTATTTTTATGTGGTGCTGAGCATCGAACTCAGGGTCTCCCATGTGCAAGGCGAATGCTCCACCACCAGTGAGCCACAACCCCAGCCCTATCCTTTAGATTTTTATTTTGAGCAAGTTGTTTTTCTCTTTGAGATAGTTCAACTTCTCACTCATGTTAACAGTATTCCTTCTGTAGGAGCAATTTCTGTCTTGAAAACATTTCTGGGTTACTAATGCTTGGAGTGCAGAACTCTATAGAACATTTTTCTTTCTTTTTTGGGTACTGAGGATAGAACCCAGAGGCACTCTACCACTGAACCACATCCCTTTTTATTTTTTGAGTCAGGGTCTCACTAAGTTGAGTTGGGCCTCACCAACTTGCTAAGGCTGGCCTCGAATTTGTGATCCTCTAGCCTCAGGCTCTTGAGTCGCTAAGATTACATAAACTCGCCACCACGCCAGTTGAGTATTTTTGAAGTTAAAAAGATCATGGGGGTATAGTTCAGTGGTAGAATGCTTACCTAGCTGTCTAGCACTTGCACGGACCTGGATTCAACCCCAGCGTAGGGGGGCCTGCGAGGCAAAAAAAAAAAAAATTATGCTGCTGCTATCTTCATTTAGAAAATGTTAGTTCCTGATGATTCCTGTGTTATATATCTTTCCACAAGCATTTTTAACACTGATTTGGGCATTTGATATGAAGTATATTGTTAATGCTGGTTTTGTTATTTGGTATGAAGTGATTTTATTGTCTGGTTCCTGTGCCTCAATTTCCCTTATCGTTTTCTGATCCTCTGGACCTATAAATAATACGTCACTTTAGTACGTTCACGTATATGTAATTGGGTCAATTCTGAAAGATGTAATGGCTCTTCGGGTTCATTTCTCATGAACCCAAGTACAGTTGACTGTACTTTCCCAAGGCAGGTCTTCCCTTTCCGCTCCTAGGTTCTTGATAACCACACTGAGATGATCTATGCGTGCAGGGGTCTTTTCAGGGACTCTGGATTTTAGAGTGTTCCCTTCCCATTCCTCGCCCAAGGTAACATCTATGATCCAGTACACAGTACAAGCGCGGATGGCTGAACCAAACATTTCGGGAAACAATACTACCTGATATTTCTTTATTTCACAGAAAACTGAATCTAATCACACGCACCTGTACGCCTTCCACGTAGGAACCAGCTAGATTGGTTTTACCAACCACTAACGGGTGTTTAAAGGCAGGCTCCTCTATCAATCTTCACTGCAGCTAAGTCTGTCACAGCCCTTCCAGAAAGAGGCGCTTATGGCTTGCCAAGCCGCCGCTCACTGGAGGACGCGGGGTTCTCTGCCGGTTAGCAGCGCGGCACCCCACACAACGCGACGCGCCACTCGGTGAATGATGCAGGACTCGACCCGTTTCCCTGCCCTCCCGCTTCCTCGACGTCAGTCCCGCCCCCTTAATCTTTTCCTGGCGAATTTTAATTTCTCCTCCGCCAAGCGGGCAGAGCGCCGAAAGATCGATGCTGCCTCCACGCTCCGAGAGCCGCCATCTTTTTTTTTTTTGGGCGGGGGAGGGGGGAATGGCAGGAGAAATACTTGTAGGTGCCGCACAGGCTCAACGGGATGCTGACTGGGTTTAGCTTCTTCTTTTCCCAGCACTGTTGTACCAGACCGGCAGAATCCACCAAGGTCCTCTCTCTGACTACCTCTCCGGAAAGAGGCCTCAGCTCCCGCGCGACACAACCCCGTTTTCTGTCCCACAGTGAGTGCAGCGCGGCGGCGCGGTACCCGTGCGCGCCTCCGCGCGCCCTCTGCTGTCAGTTGCCCCGCGCGTTCCCGCCGGCGCGCGCGCCGCTCCCCACACGCCCGCGCCCCTCCCCCGCCCGCCGGGCTCTCGGCGCAGGCTCGCTTGTTTGTTTCTGCAGGAGCCCAAGGAGAGGCCGAAGCCGAGACGATGCCTGGGAAGCTGAAGGTGAAAATCGTGGCCGGGCGCCATTTGCCAGTGATGGACCGTGCTAGTGACCTGACTGATGCCTTCGTGGAGGTTGGTGCAAGGTCTTGCCCCTCAAAATCCAGAGAACGCCAAGCCCAGTGAAGGATCTACCCACCTGCTCCCAACCCCTCAGCCCATTCCCTTTCCACTGCCCTGCTGTCGTGCGTGTCCAGACCTCCCAAGAGGGATGTCCGCCGAGGCCGAAGCCCATGTGATGGGTGCATGGCTGGCCACAGTCCGCGGTACACCCCGCCGCGCGGAGAGGTTCTTACTGCTCTGCATGCGGGGTGACCCTAATGTCTGGACTCACAACAGGCCACCTGCCAGTCAGCACAGATCCCAAGGCGTGGCCGCGCGGCCACGGAAACACAAGCACGTCCTTCTCTAGGGGAAGGATGACTTTTGGCGCCTGTGTGATGGACCTCTGCGTGAGAATATACATACAGCCCTTTATGGGCATTCCGAATCCTATCCTGCATTGTAGGATATCCACCTTTAGCCTGACATTTTCAGAACCATCAGTGTAAGTTCCAAACACAACTGGAACACTTTCTCTCTTGTATAGACTGGTAGTTCTGACGAGCTGTTTCAAGTGTAAATTTAGTGCCTTGAGGTAGGAAGTCATTAAGTGCTATGGATTTAAATTACAAAATTGCTTTTTAAATCTAATGATTAGTTTAAAAGTCATGCAAATTAGTGCAGGCGTACAGCCTGGAAAGTAATAAACCAGAGGCTGAAAGAAGCCAAGAAAATATTGCAATAAAAGTCGATGTGATGAGCCAAAGGATTACAGCAATAATCGTTTAGGCTATTAATGCTTAAAGTTAATAGATACATGATAATATACAGCCTGATTTCATCTCAATATAAAATATTTTTTGTATTCCTTAAATGTTCTCTCACCACTGTAGTTTACCTCTACTTGTCATGGTAATTCTTAATCCCAACTTCATATTCATTTGAAAAAATTCTGTATGCTTTTGGCTAGATGTTAGGTAATAGGGATACACAGATAACCAAAGCATACTTTTTCCACACATTTTAGTAACTAATAGGTAACATGAATTGTATTTCATTATTGCCATATCTGTGCTAAGTACTTTTTAATTATTATCCCATATTACAGATGAGGTAACTGAGGCCCAGGGATGATAATATATTGCATAAGATTACTTAGCTTGTAAATCTCCATAGCCTGGCAATCATTTCTCCTAACCACTACGCTATTACTGCCTCTCCACGCAAGATGAAGAGTGTTAAATTCAAATATGGCAACTTAATTCTGTCTCTGAAGGTTTAGGAAAACTTGTAAGGAACTGACATTTGAAGCAACACTTGAATTGGGCCTTGAGGGACACCCAGAATTTTTACTGTACAGAAGGAATACAAAGACAATAATGTGACACCTGGTATATTCAGGGAACCATCTTAATTTGAGATGTGTCTGGAATAAAAGGGGTACGTGAGTTTGAGGGTTTGAGGCTGGGCTGGTAGGTTTGAGTCAAATCTAATTTCCTATGATGTTTTTCCTTTATAAATAGGCAGTGGTAAGCCAGGGGAGCTTTTTCAGTGGAAATAAAAGATTATATTTGTATTAGGTTGTTTCTTTTGGGGATTACCTGAATTTATTGATTTATTATTTATGGTGCTGGGGATGAAACCCAGGGCCTCGTGCATGCTAGGCAAGTGCTATGTCACAGAGCTCTATTCCTAGCCTGATAGGTCCTTGATGTACTGGACCGATGTGAAGCAGGAAAAGCAGTTAAGAAGATGGTAAAATTGTCAAGGCAATATGTGGAAATGGGAATAGATTAGTAAAGATTTGAGAATATTTTTGAGATTAAAATTCTTAGGCCTTGAAAACTGGATTTTGCTGGTGAGGGGGGAGATCAGGTTCAAGGGTGACTCATTAATTTCATTGTTCAATAAATAGTTGTTAAGTGTCAGCAATTTGCTAGTCCCTGTGATCCTTACTGGTCTAGCTGATATATGACAGTGAACAAGACAGACTTTGTTCTTGCTTTTAAGGGACTTATTTTTGTGACTGAGACAGACATTTAAAAAGCAAAGAAATTATTAAATATACGATTATAAACTGTGGTGAGTACCGTAAAGAAACAATAAAAAGGGAATAATAGGGAACATTTACCTTAGGTTGAATAAAATCAGTCTGAGTGTCAGGCAAGCAAAGACCGATTGAATGAAAAGGAGCCAACGGGAGTGCGTGTGTGTAAGCATAAGCATAAGGCAAGGGGACAGAAGAGAAGCTGGAAAAGGAGGAAAAAAGAGTCTCAGAAGAGGGAGGACGCTGAGGAGACTGGTGTGTTGTAGGAAGTGAAGGAGCATGTTTATGGCAGTCATGTTGTGAGTAAAGGGGAGAATGGTATAAGATAAAGTTGGAAAGTTGGTCAAGTAGCCATGATTAGGATTTGGAATTTTATTTTATGTTCTTTTGTGGTACTGGGAAGTGAACCAGCGGCACTCTACCACATTTCTAGCCCTTTTATTTTGATAGAATCTCACTAAGTTGCAGAGGCTAGCCTTGAACTTGTGATCCTTCTGCCTAGCTTCAGAGTTGCTGAAATTACAGGCCTATGCCACACACCAGGCTTGGAATTTTATTCTAATTTCAATCAGAAGCAGTTAAGCGAGCCTTTTTTTGCTATGTAGGGAATGGATTGAAGGGAAAACAGTGGAGGCAGGCACCTCGCTGTGAGATTTTGAAATAGTTCAAATAACAAGGTAATGTTTTGTTAGTGGAGAGAAGTGGATAAATTCCAAATATATTTTGAAAGTAGACTAGAGAAGTTGTTGATAGATTGGAGTCATGGAGAAAGGAAAGGAAGATTGAAATATGATTCCTAGCTTTCTGGAGTCAGTGGGGTAATATTTTGAGATGCTGCAGGGATGATAGAGACATATTGGAGATAATCAGTTTCCATTTGGGCATGTTAGAGTGGGATTGTCTTTAGGACCTTTCTTTGTGATTGTAAAGGAGGCAATTGGATTTGTTACTCTGGTATTCTAAAGAGAGGTCCTGGTTAAAAGTGTTTCTCAACCTTTGAGACTTAGTACCCCCTTAATATAATAGATATTTTGATGTCTACTCTTAATATTCTGGCATGATTTTCATAGCTAATATAATTTATCTGTGCTCATAATAAAAAAATCAATGCAGTGCTTCGATCATAGTATGACAGAGAAATAAAGGTATTTTTTAATGATTTCAATATTGAAATATTTGTCCATAAGCATAATAGAAAACAGGAAGTAATCAGATTGAGTCAGTGGATATTTATTGAACCCTTGTATGCATCAGACACTGTAGTGGGCAGTAAATAAAGTGAAAACTACTTTGCTCATAGAACTTACCTTTTCGTGGGAGGGGGAAGTGCATAAAAAATATAAGTAAAAGATGCAGTATGCTAGATGGTAAGAGTGTGCCCTGGAGAAAATAGAGCTGGAACATTCGATGGAGATTGCCTTACTTATGTGTAAAATCAAATGACTGCCCTTCGTGGAGTGAGGCAGAGGTGTAGTTCTGGCATCTCATAGATCTTCATTGCTACTGGTTATCTGATTTTCCAAAATACTCAACTCATGGAGAAGAACCAGAGTTGTCTCTTGATTATATGATGGCTTTAGTTTCTAAAACTATACTTTGATCTGTAAAACTGAGTTAAGTTCTAGGTAGATTTCTTAGTCATGTGCCTATGTGGTGGGACATTCAAATGTCATGACATGGGACAAATCTTCATTGTTGTGACTTTTGCCTTGTAGGACTCCTTCTATCTCTAGTCCTTTCTCATTAACTACTACTATTGTTTCCCCCAAAACACTACTAGAATTTCTAAAGCTTTCTTAGAAGTTGATTCTTTTCCTTTTGGCAAACTTCTAACTCTTAGGGAAGAGAAAAGTGAGATGGATCCTTGAAAAAAATATCAAGAGGTATATTAGAGGATGACTAGAGAAAGGAAGCTGAGATTGTCAGGCAGTGGGTGGGCAGGGGGCAAGGTGGGGGGAGAAAAATAAGGAAGTAAGTCCTAACAGGCCAGAGGAAGTTTCTAGAAAGAAGAAACACTCATCTGTCAGATGGCACTGAGAAATCAAATAAGAGAACATAGAAATCATTGGATTGGACAATATAGAGGTTGTTATTGATCTTGATGAAAGACTTGATGAGGATGAAGCCCACACTGTAATGAGTTAGAACTAAAGTATGTAAGAAATAAGGAAACAGAAATAACAGGAGTAGGCAACTGTTTCAAGAAATATGGGTATGAAGGGAGAAATAAAAAATACTGTGGTACCTAAGTATGTAGGTTTTAGATATTTTAAAACATGTTAGAAAATACTAGAACATATTTGTGTTATAATAGGAATAATCCAGCAGAAAGGGGAAAATTAAAGCAGGAAAAAGGGGATAAAAAGGATTACCACATAATAAGGGGATAAATTTTGTAATATAGGCTATAAGTAATATAAGCTCACAGGAAAGGGAGATAATGAATCCTAGGCGCTCTCTCTCTCTCTCTCTTTTCTGAAGAGGGAATCTTCCTGTGTTGCCTAGGCTGCCCTAAACTCCTGGGCTTAAGTGATTCTCCCTCCTCAGTCTTCCAGGCTACAGGTACGTGCCACCAGGCCTGGCTAGTTAAAAGAAATCTTTATGCTGGGACTGTAGGATGGTAAAATTTCCATAGGCAGAAAGAAAAAGAGCATTTTCAGGTGAATAGGATGAGCCTGGTAAAAGCAAAAGGAGGAAGAGAGCACATGTAATTGAAAGAAGGGTTCTGTCAAATAGAAGTGGAAATAAAAGCAGTTAAAGTGGATACAGAGTGCTGAGTAGTCTGATAATCAGAGTAAGAAGACTGTGTAATAGAAGCTTTCTTAGCCAACTTCCATTGACTGACTCATTGCAGTCTCCAGTGCTCTGCATGTCTTCCATCAAGCATATTCTTAGATCCCCCCATATCATTAGACTACTCTAAAGAGAGTGTGCCCCCATAAGTTGGCTGATATACTTTACCCAGAAGTGGTTGTGTTTATTCCCA